TTTTTTTTTTTTTTTTTTTTTTTTTTTTTTTTTTTTTTTTTTTGCACGCACACACACACACACATACACACACACACACACACACACACACACACACACACACATAGTTCATTATCCCTTCTTTAATGTCTCAGTCCAAGCTTACGAAAATAGCAGTGTTTTTTTAAAAAAACATTATTTTTCAGGTGCCCAGTGCAGAAAATCCACCACCATCAAGTAACAGGTACTAAACTTCTTTTTAACAAAACTGAAATGGTTTATGAATCCTTGAATTAGAGCCTGAAGTGCATCCTAAAAGGGGAACTAAAAGGTGCTTATTTAGTTTTCTGCAAATCATCAGTAGATTTGGAAATGTACGCGTGATGTTCTATGTTTTGTCCCTTGCATTAGACCAAAGAAGACACATGCTGTGAACCATGGAATTCCAGCAGATAGTATGGGCATGTTACCTTATCCTTCTTCAGATGGAACAAGCAGTGCAGTAAGTTTTTCATTGGCTCATTTGCCTTGTTTAGGGCAAGCTGCAGTCAGTTTTTATATTTTAATTTAACTGTTTTTCAAAATCCATTTTCTTTAATGTCCAATTCTGTTCACAGGGAGGTGAGCCAGCTGCTGTTTCAAACAAGAAGAGTATACAGTGTCAATTTGTAAATAATGTAAGTTATTAAACATTTCCCCCTTCTGTTTGATTAAAACTATTTACCTCTAGAATGACCAATCATCAATTCCTTCTCATAACATTAGTTCAGTGTCAAGTGGACCAGTGACAATAATGAAGAAAACTATCAACAAAAAGACTTTGTTAAATTGTCTGGCTCATGAGATATTTAGGGCTGATTTCTGCTTAGACTGTTAAGCTGCCCAGCCTCCAGTCTTCAGATCAAGCTCCTGTTGCAGTGCGCAGTTTTTGTATACAGTTAACCCAGTATTAGTGTGTTTCAAACTATTTGGTTTTGGGTGGTGGGAGAACACTTCAAACTTGATACCTGGGTTATGTTTTACAGGGAAATCAGTGTCAAGAGAGAATCAGTAAAAGATCCAAGTCAGGGTACTGCTCTGCACATAGAACAGCTATACGCATCTCTAAGCAAGGTAGAAGCAAACCATTCTTACACTGAAGTTGTGTTGTAACCCACAACTAATGGTCAGTTGTTAATTTTTAGTTGACAAATAGGTCACTGGTCTTTGGTGAAAATTACTTTATTGTTCTATCCCAAGTAATGTGTTGCTGAAACACAACAGTTTAATGCCATTTGCTAAATTTTGACCAAGAGGCTAACTGAATTGGTTGAGGCCGTAGCAAACAAAAAACTGAAGTACAGGGTGAAGCAGTGAACAAGTAAATCAAATCATCTATGTTACAGTTTATGAGAGAGGAAGGCCTGTTAGCCTGACCCTTTACACTCTGAAATCAGCATGCATAATCTCCACACTTTTCTCTATACATGTCCTAAGGTGGTGACAAGGAGAGTTTGTTTAACAATCGAGAGCTTCTGTAGCTGGTGATCATTTTCTTCTCTTCTTGTAACCTTAATGTGTGATCCACACTTTTAATTACTGCCACACAACCTATCTCCACCCAGGAGTATATATGCATTATTAACCAGGGGTGAGGTTAAGATGGCTGGATATTGGCCAAGTTTTTTTTTGTTTTTTTTTGCATTCCTATGGACTGAGACAGAGTTGAGGTCTATAAGAATGAAAAAAAGAACAAGGCTAATATCTAGCCATCTTGACCGAACAAGCTGAGTTAATAAAGGATTTATTATATTGCAAAATATTTCGCTCAAGTAAGAATTGAGAATGACTTGTTTACCTTGAGAGCTGGGAAAGAAAGCCAACTGTGTTTATAGCACGACAAACTCACAAGAATTTTTATTTGCCTGTAGCAGGAGGGACACCACCTAAACAACTGAACACACATACCAAACCTATTCTGGAGCCACAACGAGACAACTCATCCATGGTGGACCAAGTAAGGAGGGATACTAACACTTTCAACTGTTTCATTTACGTACAGTACGTCTTTGTAAAAATGAGGTCATCAGTTTGTTTGTGGGAGTTACTGTGATCTAGTGGTTAGCCTAGAGGACTCCCAAGAGCATACCTTGTAATGGTGAACTGACAGGGAAACCTGGAGAAATGCTTGGGGGGTCCCACCATCCCCCTAGACACAATGCAAGTTAGGGGAGTGTAAGACACCTTTAACTAAACAACAGTGATGTGTTTTACATATGAGGTCCAGACAATTCTATCCTGATTCCTGAGAGAACACGTATTGAACAAGAATGTATGTTCACTTTCATTTCCATTGCTTTCAGCAACAATTGGAGCGCCTTAATCAACTTTCTGAGTCAAGTAGTTGTACAACTTCTCACGTGCCACAGGCCACTGAAGAACTACCACAGGAGATGTTTAACGTGGAAGATGATGAAAGAGACAGGTCAGTTGTGCTTCACTCTTGACTTTTGTCCAAAATGACTGGTTTCAAACATGTTTGGACTGGTTCAAAGTCCTTTTGTCTGACAGCGATTGGCCAGATCAGTTGGCTACACTGATCAAGATTCAATGCAGAGAATGGCTTCACTATTTTTGGTTGAGTTCATTGGCAGCCCTTATTCGGCTCCAGTGCAGTGATTGGCGGCATTGATGTGGGTTTAGTGAAATTTTTAGAGGCAACTGTTGTCTGGGGTCATTTTTCATACCTAATCTTTCAAAAGAAAAAAACACGTAAAAGTGTCAGGACAGTTACAAAATGGTAGGCCACTTCGGATTGTGCTGTCAATGGTCGTGTCAATAATTTAGGAAGGTTAGACTCTAAAAGGAGTTTGAACTCATGACTTTCAGAGGTTTTCTTTTGACCTGCTCCTTCTTTTCATTTCTGGCAGTGAAAATGAAGATTCTCCTGGATCGTCAAGTTTTCATGGCAACATATATGAGGGTGATGATGATCTTGTAATCGACTTACCAGAATAGAGAAAAATGATTTGACCATAATAAAACCATCATTTTTATGTACGTCTTTCTCGCGATATCTCTTTGTCGTGAAGATCATCAGGCAGAATTCTGCCCAAACGTGTTAAGTGGCCCAACTTAGTCGCCCAATGAGAACAAACCAGGTTCAATGGCTAGATACCCCCTGTAATTTACCGTGCGATGTATATACTCCTCAGTTTGTGATTAGAAGTAAAGTCGGCATTGTAACACCGTATGTTACCGAAGTAGACGTAGTTTGTTGTGGTTTCTAGTACCAAATCGTGATATTAAGTGGTTTTTGCAAAAACAGATATTTTCCTGCGGCAATGATTACAGGAACGAGTATAGTAAATGGGTAAAATATGGTCTCGTTTTCCCTCTGCCGTGCTCAGCAACCATCCGCTTTCGAGAAATGAGCCCACGCTCAAAAAGCAGTTCTGCCTTTGCGCAGTTCCCTTTTGAAACTACCAAACAGCCGGGAAAGGAGGGGGGGAGGGTTTGACGATGGAAACATGCTCCCACACCAACCATGAAAGCAACTTCTTTAGACGAAATTTTAGGGATCTGCCTTTGGGGTGATAACCAAAGAAAATTGTTTTGTTAAACAGACGTGTGTCAAGTACGTCGACATACATATTTTATCCTGTTGTATAGACCTCAGTATGATCAATCCAGTAATGACTAAAAAGGTTTTTTTTAGCAACATGATCGAAACTTCTCTTAAAATGTGCGATGGACTGATTAGTTTGAAACTAAACGATATTAGAATCACTCATATCAGTTATGTAAATTTGGTCAGTTAATATTGGGATCACTTCGGTGGGTATCTGACTAATAACAAAGTGGAATAAGACCTTGTTTTCAACTGAGCAGTTGAGTTCGGATCGCGGGGTCGGCCCCTCGCAAATTCCTACATGGTTTGCAAGGGTTGGTTATTTTTCTGTTGCCAAATCGGTTAAAATATGAACTCTGAGAACCAAATGGATCAATTAGAGCAGCAAATACGAGAAGCCCAACAAAGGTATTTAAATGCGCAAGGGCGTCTTCGCGAAGAAAATCAAACGATAATTGAAAACATGAAATGTATCATTGCGACCAGTCGGAAAATTCAAGCTCATCGAGATAGACTGCGGGAAACGAACGAGGTGTACCGAACTAAGGCTGAAAAACTACAGCTTGCTTATAAAAACATCGAATTACACGGGCAGATTGTTATCATAAGACAAGGGTTAGAGACAGCTGTGGAGTTGACATCGAGAGCAGAGAGGAGGATCAATAAAGTGGCTCACGAATTGCAGAGCATGAACGAAGAGAGATTGAACGAGGCTGGAATTGATAACAACAACAATGCCAAAGAATTTGAAGAAATGGAAACTTTTGGCTCAAGAAAGGCTTCTTTAGAGGCCTTAAGAAATGAATTTTACGATTCTCAGCTCAAAGAATTTCTAATATTGAGAAAGAAGGTGGATGCGATCAATACGGAAATCGAGATTGTCGAGGATAAGTTTGCGGTGTTAGAGGCGAGGAAACAAGAGTTACTAGCAGAAATACACAAGTACAAAACTAAAAAACGCGATCTCTTGAAAGCAAAAGCAAATAAGGAAAATCTCCACAACACAAACTTGAGACTATTTTTAGTGGAACTTGGGGTAATATGAACACAGACTGTAGCCAAAAGAAGTATGTAATTATTTGATAGGAATTTGACCGATATCAGTTCACGTCCAATATGATCAAAAATATCGTCGCTTTGGTGCGCTACAAAAACATGCCGTAGGCTGATTCGAATATCTCGTGAAAAACAAAGAATAACAATTTTATGTGATGAACTGACTCGCTGACGAAAGTTTACTGTAACAGCTTTTCATTTCAAATTGCTTTTTCTTTCTCGTGTACCTGTCACCATCTGACGAGTTTGTGAACAGATTCTGGCTACTATTCACCATCACTGATGGTGATTCTTTTTTTTTCTCGCTAAGTCCTTACGAAAGTAAAAAGTCATTACACGTTTCCACTTTTTGGTCCTGGTTGGTGAAACTCGGCCAGATACAGAGGGGAAAAGGAAAGTTTTTTGGAGAAGACGCACTTTTCAATTTACAAATGAACGCTTCATAAGGCTAGTTTTGGGTGAAATTAAACGATAACGTCCGAAAGCGGACTACAACATCCTTAAGCGGAAGATGGAGTTCGAAATCAAACGATAGCGTCCGAAACCGGACAATAACGTCCAACTGATAAAACATTTATGTCTGAAATAATACGATAACGTCCGAAATCGGACAACAACGACCAAAATTAGACAGTAGCGCCCGACATTCGACAACAGCGTTCGTAATTAGACGATAGTTAACAACTATTCACCAAAGTGGAGGTGAATAGTTGTTTTAGTATATACTAAAACGGCGAGATAATATACATCACCAAAACTTAATTTGAGTGATTTCTTCGCTTGTAACGGATGCAAAACGGGACGCCATTTTTTCCCGAGTTGCTCGAAGGTAAATAGCAAAGGATATTCGGAGTCTGACTAGCCAATCAGAGCGCGCCTTCAACGCTATCCACTGTTTTAGTATATACTAAATAATAGTTATTGCGAGACTCGGAACCGGTCCTTTTCGGTCTGTAATTAGACGAGTGCTAATAAGTGGATTTTCGCGGTCGTCGATTTGTTTACTATGAGTATGATAACGTATAAAATTGGATAATGGTATCTGTAATCGAACACAAGCCTTTAAAAGCGGACGATCGTAGAGAGATCTGGCACCGCGTTTACGTGAAACGGCAGACTTCAACTTGCCCTTTCACGTCTCACGTAAAATAGCGTGAACCTTGCTGCTTTAGCTTCGCGTGAGCTCACGTCATGGTGGATTTGAAGGCGACCTGGTATGACTTACAAGGAATAGTTTTGGTGACCTTTTACCTGGTCATCGACTTCTACTCTGTGAGAGAAAAGGAAGAACATCTTCAGTACACGGCAAACGCGAAACAGGTTACTTTCACATGGAAACGGCAAAGCGCGACCGGCAAACGTGAAAAAATGGCGGGAAAACAGTCACGTGGCCACTCTTGCCGTTCACGTTTCACGTACCGCTCATTAGAAATGCATTACTTTTAAAACTATGTACTGCTCCTTACAAATGCATTGCTTTTAAAAACGTAAAATACAGCATGTCTAAAGTCCTCAAGGTCTACCTACTAACTTGATTGACGGCTTTGTGATTAAAGTAAAAATTCTTAGAATAATCAAAAGCATTTTCCTGGTATATTTGATGACGGCGACGCTGGAATTAAAATTAATTATCCTGCGTCCGTGCGTGCGTACATGCTAACGTGCACATTCATGTGTGATGCGAAATGTCATGCCAAATATGCCACCTCGTTCCTAGGGCCTTTACCCTGGGAACGAGGCTAGCCATATATGGAGAAAACTATTGATTGGCGGGAAGGTCATACGACGCAGTCATTTCTTGTGGCAGTTTCATTCCCTGCGAGTATATTTTGTCTATTTTGTTAAAGAGAATTATTTTTTTTCTTCAATGGAGAAAAGAGTGGTGAGTATTTTTCGTGCACCTTATGTAGTGAAAGGCCAGGCGATTAAATTGTTCAAAATGAAATGAGAATACTCGAATGATCGAGGGTGCTAAGGCGAGTGAATGAAAAACTACATGGACCCCGAAAAAGTTTCTGCCAAAAAAATAAGGAAAGATTTCCATATAAACCCATTCATTAATTATGCATTCCATTTCATTAAGACTAACTGTGAGGGTTTCTTTGCAACACTCTATGCATAATTAATGTGTTGAGTAATATGGAAATCTTGCCAAAAATAAATATGGTTTTGTTTTAATGTGGTATTATAATTTACACTTTTGCTGTTAGGAAATAGACAGTTATTTAATGATTCTTCCCATCACTGCTTTCATTTTCCTGTCATCAGTACTTCGTTGATATGTGCATAACGAAGAGCTTATTATCTGGAAAGAAGTGTCCTAACAGAAAATACGGAAAGACATTGTCCATTAACTTAAGTTTATTCAGTTACTACACAATCATATTTACTATCTTAAAGGTACGTTCAAATTATCGTTGCAATCTATGTTGTGGGTGTGCCTTTCCTTTTTTTACCGACAGAGTTAATTTTTGTGTTGTGGCTTTGTAGGATTACTCAGCCAATGCGTGTTATGAGCTGCTTGAAAACCCTTGTGAGAGTTCAGTGACGAAATTCTCTGATTTCATAACCAGGGTAGGAAACCTCAACCACATAGAATGTGTCTATAAATTAGCTGATATACCAAGACCACTCAGATTAGTTAAAAACATATCATTGTATGTATCACTAGACTTGTCATTATTTTATCATATCCATGTTTTATCTTCTAGCCAACCTTTTTATCAATTTACTAGGTCAGTAACTTTTATAGGGAGATCGTAGAGCACAAAAAAAAATTGTTAATCTCAACTTTGGAATTAGGCCTTCCGGTTAGCATTAACCGCCTCCCGGTTAGCTCAATGGATAGAGCACTGGACTGTTCTGCGGGAGGTCGAGGGTTCGAGCCCCGGCCGGACCAACACTCAGGGTCTTAAAATAATTGAGAAGAATTTGCTGCCTTTCTATAACATCAAGAAATGGTTAGATATTCTCGTCTTCTCGGATAGGGACGAATAAATGGAGGTCCCGTCTCCTGCAGGGTTGGGGTAGGAGACGTTAATTTCCCACACACGAGATAACTGTGTGATGGATGTCCTCCTCTGGGGTGGGATGGGTGGGATATTGGGCGCTCTTAATTTGGAGCCTCGCTCTGTTGTGCGACCCTCACCTCACTCTGGTGAAAGTGATTAAATAAATTGGGTTATTACACCCCAAAAAAACAAGAAAAACTGCAGTCTCTTGCATTGGATTGAACTTAGTCACACTTGTTTATGGACAAAGAGGAGAAACCCAGTGAAAGATTAAGATGGAGTCACTATTTAGGTGTAGTGTTGTTGAGCAGGGTAATTCCCCATTACCAGTACCATTGGCTGTTACAGTGTTATGAATGGGACATTATTGGTTTCGTTCCTTGGTCTGATTCTGTTTGAAATAATTTAAATGGACTTGTTTAAAATCATATTCATTTTTCTTTTAATTCAGGAACTGAACTCAGGACACCTTGCTCAGCTGTCTGATGTTTTCAAGAGGATCACTGACACTATTGAAAATCAAACAGAGTCAAAGAATGTCTCTATGGAGAAGCTCTTTGACTTGGATTTTCATTTGATTATACCATTCAAACACAGTTTAGTATTTGTTTAATAATATAATTAGAAAAAAATTCTATCTGTTCCAAGGGTTATAATTATCATTTTTTCTACCTTGTGTTTTGCAGGATATAAAACAGGCCAGGTTCAAAAAAATTCTAATTTTTTATATCAAAGATTTTGTGATTTGAGTCTTTAATCTTTGTTATTTTATCCACTTCCCAAAAGTTCTTCAGGTACTTGTTGACGGGGATGTTATCTGCACACCAGATGCAGTGGAATCACTGGTTTCAATGCTAACATTTATGACTGTAAGTAGAAAGTGAAATAACCTTCTCTATTTAAAGCTTTCAAATGAGAATTGCACATTTTTACAAGATATTTACAGTCTTGAATTCTGGAAAAGTATGGCAAGTTGAATTGTAATTGTCAGTACCTGGAAAAAGATTTGAAAATGTCAAAATAGTAATAACAATGAAGTGAGATAAACATTTTTTGAAGAATTTTTTTCAAATGGCAGTAAGTCCCTAGTTGTGACCAGTGGGATTGGGGAATTTCTCATCTCAGGCTATATGACTTGATTTGCAACCTCTATTCTGAATATTGAAATAATTATTTGGATTAAGTCTGAAGAGAGTAATAATTTTGGGTACAAAATTTTGAGCAATATTTTCAGTAACCATTAGAATAACATTAGCTGACTGGAAATGCCATACTTCCATTCATAATATTATGTTTTTATCTTAGGCAATATGTGAAAAGTTTCCCCCAGGTAAACTGATTTTCTATTCTTTTGGTTCATGTTCCTCACAGAGTATTCAAAGTTGATCTACACAAGATACTAAAAATAAATAACTTTCTAAGAGCACCTCTCTTTAATGATGATTTTGGGATTCATCAGTGAAAATTTTTAGAAAAGCAAGGTTGTATGTGCCTACTACAGAAAGGACCACTTAAATACAGTTTGTTGAGAAATGTTGTGTACAATGAACAATTCACTTATTATTTCTTTAGGTTGAACTTTTTCTTTGAAAATTGGTGTTATGTTGTATTGTTATTAATTTTTCTCATTAAAGGCAAGGCAAAGTTGGTTTCAATTGTTCCAGCCTTAATTTGTGATATAATTGCAAAAGAGACAAAAAGCATTGATTTGAGTATTGAGGTAAATCTTCTTACTTATGTACAACCCATTCAGTACAATAGAATATCATGAACAATGTTCATTACACTTTTCATTTATATTTGCTATTAAAATAAAACAAGTAAATGGTCAAACATTTCCACTCTATCAATATAATATTGGCTGTGTTCAAATTTTAAACAGATTAGTGCAAATGATAAACAACTAAATTCTTAGTTCAATAATGTAATACGAGACTGACCATTTCTGACTTAATGAATGCATGACTGTTTGACTGCATTAAGGCTAACAGATCTACTGATCAGTCCGTTGTTTGGCCAGCAGACTGGCAGACAGACTCAATAACGTTTTTTCTTTTTAGGCTGTAAAGCTATCAAATATGATTCTTGCAGATGAAGCTAATCATGACTTGGATCAAACTGATGCTGTGTACCTGGCTTCCAAAGAATTGTATGGCTGTTTGACATAATTGAATAATGAAAACTGAACAAAAAGCATAGTGATCACTCTGTATCAAGTGTGACATTTATTGGCCAAGAAGCAATTGGAACAAAAAATTGATGGTTAATGAAAAAATGTAATTTTATAGGCAAGTGGTAGCAACTGGCAAAAATTAAACCTTTTGAAAGCAATGGTTATCCAACATTAGGGCTAGAAAGTTTGGTTTTGCTTTACTTTTCTTCTTGTTCTTGGTGGACTAATGTCAGAAATGGGAGGACACTTACAGGTACAACAGTGAGTGTTAAATTGATGATTTTCAGGAAATTCACATCAGCTTTGTTTTAAGAGTTGCCATTCCTTTTAACATTGTTTGCTCTTGATACTTGATCTGTACTCAAGCAATCAGTTCACATTCACTTTATTTTTCATATTTCAGAGAGGGTAATATGGAATGTCTGCTTGTTGGTGCTGGAGGTAATTACATCATCGCCCAGAATTTAGTGACATATCCGGGACTTTCATTGAGACACTGGCGCTAAATTTAAACGCTAATTAGAAAATGATTGCCAAACAATAGAGGGAAAGGGCTGAAAATGTCGAGGAAAGCTTACGTTCTATTCGTTTACGGATAAACTACTTTTTGAATCCTACTTTTACCATATGGCTTTTATAGAAGAAAGTTCAATTGAACAGTGTATCAGTCACACTTTGCTCTTGCGCTTTCAGAAGAGGTCGCAAATTTGCCTTGAAAATTGACTATGTTGGCGTCCTGCTGGTATGAGAAGTCGATCTCAGCACATTTTCAGGCGTAATTCATCTTCACTCAATTGCTAGATTTTTCTTTTACCATACGGTTATTTTTATTTAACATTCTAGAAAGCGCCATAGAAATTTTCAAGGGATTTCAAGCTTTCGAAGCAGTCGCAAAACGCGAATTTCGAAAACGTTTGCTCTGCATCGCAGTGATCTCTCCAAATTTGTCCTTTGGGGACTCCCACGAGAATACAAGTTACCCATTTCAAACTTCCCGCAAGATTATCAAAATAAAATTTCACTTGACCACAGATTAGCTAGCTTTCTGAGCACCGCTTTTTATAACCTTCAATCAGGCGTTTCTTTGTTGTCAGTCCGCAACCGCAGGCCTTTCGCCCTCGAAAACCGCCTGATCGCGACTTACACTTTTTAAACCGCCTATTCTTTACGATACTATTTTCTAAATTTTTCTATTTTCATGATACTAATTTTTATAATTCAGAAAACATTTTAACCAACGGGAGTCTGTCAGTCTTTCTAAGAATCCGCTGCAAACGAATTTGCTAAACGTTTTGTTAAGAGCGTGGCTATTGTTAATTAGTGTTATTGTTCACTTTATATCACCTTGGGATTTACTTTACGCATCCAACCGTTTGATTGACAGCAGCTCAAATCTCCAAAGAGACTCGTGTATTCCCAAAGCTTTACCTGCTGACCAATCACATCCGACTGGTTCAGGATATGCAAATTATTATGCTGCCCGCTGATTAAATGGGCACTGCAAGTACATGTCACGAAAGACAATAGTATTCTGGGCGATGTTTTTTTCCTTCTGTATTTATGTATTGTTCATGGAAAAAACTAAATAATAATCATACATTTTGTCTCTTCACCAATGATATTGAACCTGTCCTGGCAAGAACCCAATTCTATGAAGAAAACAATAACATACCAGTTATAAGAGTAATTTTTCACTGAGTATAACAAAATAAGTGAAAAATGTTTTTCTCATACGCTGCTGGGGCCTGGGTATAGGTCATGTGACCTATGGGGCAGGGAGTTGTTTTTGTTGCATCTGCCATTGCTGATTTTCCTGCTCAGCCACCCAAAGATTTTAAATGTTTATACAATACCAGTATAATGTACTAGCCTGGAACTTTTTTCATTTTTTCCGATCTTAGTGTATGCTACTTGTATTAGCTTTGAATTTGCAATAAAAGTCAGTTTGTGCTGGTCAGCTTGACATGGCTACCAGTGGTGTGTGAGAAACCACTTTTGATTTATCAGTAAATCTTGCACATACCATTCAAAGAAAATACAAGCTGAGATGTAATAAGACTACTGACAGAGTGGCTGGAAAATGGCACAAGTGAACAAATTAAAATTTTGGTGGTTGGCTAAAGAAGTCAATAGATTGATAAATTAGTTACAAGGATTTGGTGTTAGATCAAACTTACAACATCTATCTGATAGTTTTGGGTGTTCATGTTACCTGTTTGTTGGATATTTGGAAATTATAGTAAGAACTTGCATCATAGTCACTTCTAAAAGTTAAAGGGCTAATGAAGTGGTGCCTATACATTGATTTTCTATTACAATTGAAAAAGTGAATTAAGTTAATGCAAAGCATACATCAAATGTGATATACTCAAGAATATAAAGTAAGGTTAATCTAAAAATTATTATCTGAGTCTCTCTGTTTTGATTCTTTTGAAATATTTAGATTTTGAACTACAAGCAGGAATGGTGGAAGTTATTGTTCGTCTCCTTTCATGTGCCAAAAGACTTTCACAGGCTCCACAGTGCTTTACCAATAAATCTGTTTCTCAGGCTTTCAGAGATATCAGCTTGGAAGATTTTGAGGCAGTAAGTCTTAAGATTGATTTTTAGGTGAATGATTCAAATTTTGTATTCTTATGACTCAATCAACCTTTAATGGGGCATTTCTCAATTGTTCTGTAATTGTTTTAGTTTGTGAAAATTTTCTTTTAAACTAATCTTGTGCCTAATTTCCATCTCCATAATCATTATAATTTAGGTTTATTGCTGAATTTGATTCTTTGGCAGGGTTGTAGGCACTTTCTTAACACTTTAAATGAGAGTCAAAAGGAAAAGCAAAGGTATCATAAATGTTCTTTGATCATAATTATGATATCACATTTATTTCTTTGATATGTGAATGCCAGTGGGAATTTCAAATAGTGACTAAGTCATATTTATTCTCATTTTTTGTTTTGAATAGTAAGAAAATATAGAAAGAAAAACTAAAATTATGTTGCAAATAATAATACTTTGGTTGGCTAGATGCTAATAGATAAGAGGATACACAATTATAGATTATTCTCATTCAGTGGTATTACTCAGGGCTTTTTTTTACCTTTGACTAACTCTCTTGTTGTTTTCTTTGGCAGTGTGACCTCAATTCCTTGTTATTCAGCTTACTTTGGAACACTAGAGGTTTGCTGGGATATTTTGCAACTATATTGAGTTATCTTCATAATTACAGGAATTAAAATTGAATATATTGTATTGTCAGTGGCATTGAGCAAATAGCAGGAAGTCACTTTGCACCAGAGTCACCCTGCACCAGAAAACTGGCTGCCAGTTTTCTCTATAGATCACTTTAAATAAACAGGATTATTATTTTGATGACTGTTATGAAAATGTCCTATAAATAAATATCTGTCTAAATAAATCAAAATCAGTTAAAACAAAGAGACCAGTACTAGAACAATGTTTTATTGCATAAATCAGAGTGCTGAAACAATAATGGGATTGGAGATTTTTAATATAATGATAATTCTTCTCTATGTTTGGTTTTTAGGAAATTATAACTAATCCATATGCAAATTTCTTCTTTGCAATCATAGGTTTACCAGCCAAACTATGAGAAAATAAAGGAGTTTTGGATAGATTTTAACTATGGCAGTGAGTCCATCACACTTTTTGTTGAGGAGCTAGACAAAGATGGCAATTACAAGGTATAACAATGTTTTTTGTTATTTGTTTACTCTCTTCTCAACTCATTTCATTTAAATTTACATCCATGTATGCTACTTTAGGTATTTAGGTTAGTGGGAGGCTACCATAATCATTTCATGATGTTTATTTTCCATTGCATCAGTCAAGGACAGTACAAATCAAGTACAATATTTCAGAGTTTTTGTTTGTTGTAGTTAGGCTGCTTAGTATGGAAGGCCCAGCCCATTATACTTTGACAGAGCAAATTAATGCTGATTTGATGTGATATGTCCCTTTTCCTGGCTTTTATCTAGGAAAGTAGCTCATGGGAGACAGTGCTCATTAAGGCAGCAGATGTTGAGGACTACCGTATCAAAGGTTAATTTCACTAACATCAGGCCTATAAATAACCTAACTTTTGATGTCATCGCACATTTTACACTAACTTCAATCACGATCATGCAAGAGACACCTAAATCAGAAGAAAATACTCCTAAGCTGTAACTCACTTAAAAAGACAAGTGGTTTTTGGGGCCTTCTTAAACTTGCTACCTTCAATAATGCAATGGACACCTAAAAGCAGTGCTATAAATCTTTCAACCAATTGTGACCGAAGAGCCCACAGAAATCTTGTATTCAGATTCAACTAAAAGATTTTTTCACTGGAGAGGCTGGTAGTCCCCGGCCTGTTTGCTTGCTTACCAGTGCATAAGAAGCTTGGTGGGTCTTCAATAGAAATAGTACAAGGGAATTTTGAGTTATCTGTCATTATATTTGTGCAGCTTTATATGATTGTATCCAATCAAATTGATAAAGATTTCTTCACTGCCCAGATTTAGAAACAAAGAAAGATGAGGTTGCCCTTCTTTTAAAGCTAAAGCATGCTGCATCTGACCTTGTTTCCTTTGGACCTCAATTTGACAATCAGTTTGTCAAGTTTTCTTTTAGTGGAATTTATATCCTTTCAGTTGTAAAAACGCTAACAATTGTAATTATTCTGGCTGCCTATATGCCAGGGCTCAACACTAATGGTAGCTTACTAGCCACAGACTAGTAGAAATTCAGTTTTGGCAAGTGGTTTTCGATTTCCACAGGTTTGTTTGACTAGTAAACAAATTGAAATTGTGGTAACATGTAAGATGTCACTAACCACTTGGCCAGTAAGTTGAAAAGTTGGTGTTGAGCCCTGTGTGCCCTTTAGTTTTTTTTTTTTTTTTCTAGAACATGCAGTCATTATGGTTCTTAGTTTTGTTTCTTTTCAGTTTTTAATAGTAAGTTACAGAAGCTTCATTCTTTTTTGATGTTCAACAGTTTTTTTTTCTTAATTCCTTAACTCTTCCAACTTGCTAACCTTCTGACATCTGTAGTACAAAAAATAATGGGAAGACCAAAATTTCCACCCAGTAGTGACTCAGATGTAAGCTTGACTCCTTCAACAAAAGCCTCAGTAGCCATTGATCCTGTGTGCATTAAAAGCACAAAAACCGAGGTGACATATGTTTTGCCCATCATGCCCACAGCAACTGTGATGTCGCAGGTAGAAATTAGAATAATTTACGAATTAAAATTACAAATTAGATATTAAACTACTGATAATTGTTTGAAGTTGGTATAACGGAATCACAGTGAGGTGAAATGTTGAAGGTAACCCAATTCTGAATGGATAATGGTAACCTAAATGGGGTTTATTCCAGTATGTCCTTATCTCAACCACACTATCGCTCTGCTTATACACTAACTTGTATTTTATGTTGGGCTTAGAAAATTATAACTGTATGCATGATTGTACGGTTCAAACAAAGCTTTAATTGTTGTTATTAATTGATTTCAAAGTTTGGATAATATCACTTAAAGTATCTTTATAAAGGAGAACAGTATGATTAAACTCTGCTCTCTTTTTTACTGCCCTGGCTAGGAAGAAGGAAAAGAAATTTGACTGATTTGACCCAGTCAAATCCGTTTTCTTCTTCTTAGCTAAGGCAAACAGATCTGACTTGGTCAAATCAACAACAAAATATTCACCCCCAAATGGCAGATGTCTTATTTCCAGCTTTAATGGCTAATTAAATTAGTCATTAAAGCTGGGAATAAGTTGCATGATTCATACAACATCAGGGACCACACTGAAGAGGAAACCAGAAGAGAGCCTGTGAAATGGCCTTCTAAGCATCTACAGGCCAAAGTGGCTAGGTTTTTTTAAAGTTCCTTTCAGATTTTTTAAGGGTTTTTTTTTTACAGTTCCCTTTCAGAATATAAAAATATTTTTAAAATGATGTCAAAATTAGAGAAAAATCTTCTCCTTGCCTCTTTCTGCCTTCTCTTCCACACTGTCTGCTTACCTCCTTTAATTCCAGGAACAAAGAAGAAGTGATAGTTCAACTGATCTCGATATGAGTAAGGACAATTCTTTGGAGAAATCCTTACCAACAGCTTTCAAAGTAAGCAAGAGATTAAAAGCCAGTAAAAGAAAGGGAAGGACCTTGTCAAATGGTGCAAAGAACTACGAGGGTATTAGAGAAAAAGTTTTCTCTACCAGACGTTCCCATCCATTGGTTGAGGTAAGTTTACACTCTTAAAGCTAATTTATTGATGCTTTTAATGGATGCAGGTTAAGGAAGGACTGAGTGAGGAATGTACCAGTAAGTACATCCCTGTCCCTTGGTGGGGAATCCCTCTCATAGTCAGATGAGCTTAGCCTCAAGCTCAGTCATGTAACATTAATGGGAGAGTGTGATAACTAAAATTAGTTAAGAGCATGCATTTTTAATAGTTTCTAGTTTCTCAGTTCTGGCACTTGTCATATCATTTTTCCTTATAGAGCCAAAAGAAAAGCATTGGCACCTTATCCATGGTGACTCCAGCCAGAAGACAAACCCCAAGATCTGGTAAGAGGAGAATTAGGTCATGCACCCCTACACAAGTAAAGGGTAACGGAAGGAGGAAAGCTGAAAAGACAAAGCTTGCATTCAGCTCCTTGTCAGATGTACTTCTTGAAAGGGACATTTCCTCCATTAAAGGTGAAGCTCCAAAAATACCCTGGCCAGTTTACTGTTTTCGTCTTGTTTTTAAGAAAGATATCTAACTTTCACAGTTCCTCCTTCCACCCTTGAGAAAGGAAAGGGAAAGTACCAGAAAAAAATGCGAGAGTAACCAGTGGTTGACTAGCATCACGCTACTACTTGCTTCGTGCCATGCAAATCAGGATAATCTCCAGTGAGATGACCCTCTTACCTTATTATAAATGATAAATTTCCCTTTTTACCTTTCTGCTAATGTATTTGCAATTAAGTGCTGTTGGTTTAAGGAACTTGATAACATTGATACAAGGGAGAACTATTAAGACATAGTAGCAAGCTTTTCGAGTCTATCACGTCATGCCCGGATCACAAACTCGTGCCTGTCTTACCTCCTAAGAGAGAACACAGATATAATCTAAGACAGTCCAGGGCTTATGCCATGCCCCGTACACATACAAATCATTTTAAGAACACTTTTATTCCAAGTATGTGTACGGAAAAATTATTATTATTATTATTTTTTTAGACTAGTTTGTACATAGTCATATATAGAGAGTTTTTCACATTTATGGTTTTATTATAATTTCAATTTGTATTTGGAAATTATTTATTCCTAGTTCTCAGTAATTGTAACGCAATTCAGTCTACGGACTGCCATGTTCGATATTCTAATAAACTATCTCTCTATCTCTAGTAGTGCTTTCAGCTGTTTGTCTTAACGTATCCTGAAGATTCAATTTCCATCTTTCTTCCTCTTCAGGATTAAAAAAGGATAGAACGGCAAGCAGTGTGGTTTTAGTGCCAAATCCAGCAAAGAAACATCAGAGAATTGGAGATGTTGTTTACAATGAAGACAGGATTGACAATGGAAAATATAACACAGGAAATGATATCCCTAAAAAGCAAGGTAAGTTTTTAATATTTTTTATATATATAGGTACACTGACAAGACCTTAAGCGTGCAATCACTTTACTAACCATGTCCTCTCAGTACCGTAAGTTGCGACCAGCAGCAACTAGTTAGGCATTTGTCAGGTTACAATTTCCCTACTACTTTGTCTGAAGGGTTTGAGAAATTACGTCTGTTCATGCATGACTGCTTCGTATGAAAGACGCAAATTGAAAATGAAACAATTTCAATTCAAAATCACGAAAACCAAGAACAATTTGTGGTAAATAAGAAGAGAGTTTGGTGACAAAACAGCTTTGAATTTTAACCAGCTGTACATGTAGAGTATAGTACTGCCCACTGAATTGATCAACAACTGTGAGAATAGTAACTGAAAAATATGATAAAAACCCACATAATCCCATTCAATAAGGTTTTCATTTACATGGACTGATTTGATATTCTCTGCAGTTTTTGTCATGAAATTGAGGGAAACCTTGTTCACATTTTTGATATTTTATCATTTAGGGATGAAAGAAGGTGCCACTAATAAAAGATCCTTGCAAAGCGCTCAAGCAGAAAAGAAGCAAGTGTCATCTCGTGTACTTGCCCTCAAATCCACAAGCGATGCTAGCAATGAGGATGATTACCTTGAAGAGAATCAGCACGAGACGGCTTTGGCTGGTACAATGACATCTCAATTATTGTTCAGTACATATTATTGCTGTAAAGCATCCCTACTGAAATGTTTTGAAAACGAAAAGCTGCCATAAACCAGTAGTTTCCTATCGATAAATTCTTCTCTTTATCTTCTAATTATATCCTAGATTATGAAATTGAAAGCAGTGATTATACTACAGAATGCTATCCAGAGGCTGAGTATGGAACGTCTTCACCGGTTATTAAAGTTGACAATGCATCTCAAAGCCATAAATCATTGGAGGAAGCTTTACCCGTCAGTCTTTATGATATGGATGATTATGCAGCTTTCGACTATCAAAACACAAGCAAGCAAGTTTCAAAGAAATTCAGGATAGAGAAGGACAGGGTGGAAATTCTAGAAACGAAAAACAACAGGGTCTGTGTGGAGTTTATGGTCAGTCATTGTACTGCATTATTTCACAGTGATCCTAAAAATGCGTGGAGATTTGATGATATTTATCCTCTCAACATTAACGTTTTGGCTTCTTTGCCGTTTATTATTCTCAAAAGAAAAGAATTGTTTATCCGTAGTTATGCTCTATCGATTGGATCGCTTGTTTCAAGTTTTGTAATATGTGCGCCATCTTGGTATGTTCTACGTACCAAGTGCCTGTTAAAATAAGGGACGGAGTTCTTTTTCACTAAAAGTCTTTTTTTGTTTCAGTTTTTGCAAACCCCAAAATCATGCAAAGAGTTGGGTGAAAAATGTGACGGAGAAGAATCTCAACGCAGCTTAATGAAACTCTCTAAGGTAGAAGAGCTTTGTTGCTTTCATCACATGCAAGAACTACAACAGTTGGTTTCAATCCCAAGGAAGCTTGGTATATATTAAAAGTTAAAAGATTTTGGATTTCCAAAGATATTGCTTGTATTCTGTTTTGCCACAACCCTGAGACAATAATGATGTTTCTTCAAGGCGCACAGATATCCTTGAGTAGTCTTATGGTATTAGTGGTCTATGAGTATTCCCTTCCAAAGCTTATTTCTTTCATTCTCTTTTCATTTATTTTGCGATGAAAGAACAACTATCCAGACATCTTTCCTTGATGTTTTCTTCAACTTGACTGGCTGCTCTAACTTAATTAATATTTTTAAACCTATTTCTGTTTCAGGTTACTCCAATAGGTGAAGCTTCAGAAACGAGTGACGTCACCGAACAAGGCGAAGATAAAGAGAAGGATGTTGAAGCTGACTTCGCTCATAGTGATATTGAAATAGATTATAACTTTGACATCGATATGACGCCAATTTATAGACGCAAATATAGGAATGAGCAAAGATCGGTAGGTTGATGTGCTTCATGAAACGTAAGTGTCACAAGTATTACGGTTAATGTACTGCTTTCTTTTTATCCTTATAATTTGATTATGTCACCTACTTGTAACAATATGCGACAATCTAAGAATTTGTTAGAAATAGTCACATTATATCCATACTTCTCAGGATGACCACCTCTCCAATCCTCTCCGTTCCTGACGGATAACATTTTTTGTTTATTTTCATTTAACCTCTTTAGAGTTTGAAAGCTAAAATTATACAACTTTTAGAGTGTGCCTATGTTGAATTGTTCACTTCTCAAATTCAAGGCTGGAAACAATATGCAGCTAAGATCCAGTAAAGGGAGGTTAGGTTTGAAGCATGCTGTGCCTCGAGATGACTCAGGTATTTAAACCCTTGATTATCTCTTGTGTGACCCATTTTTGTTGCATTCGCATTTAAATCTTTGTCTCCTTTTCAGCTTTTATTGATATTCTTCATAAATTGTTTCCAATTGTCAATAAAAGTAGGGCGTCATCATCGTTTTATCTTTGAATGTTAAGTGTGGAAATGATTTGTTTGTCTCATAATTTCAGGGATTGGTGAAACACCTTTCCAAAGAAATCAAACAAAAGTCCCCAAGAAAAAGTCTTTGAGACAAAGGCCTCTTCAAGTATCCGTCGTAAAGACACCAATCACACCAAGATCAGAACTAGGTAAAAAGTTTGCACTTCTGTAAAATTTAAAGATTGTCGTTGATCTTATACCTGGCAGTGTGCAACCCAAGTGACAAAGTGAGGTCTCGAGACAAACTCTAAAGAAGGAAAACCTTCCGGCATCAAAAATGACCACATTTAGCACTTGGTCAAAAGTCAAAAATGACCACATTTAGCACTTGGTCAAAAGTCAAAAATGACCACATTTAGCACTTGGTCAAAAGTCAAAAATGACCACTTTTTAACACTTGGTCGAAAGTCAAAAATGACCACGTTTAGCACTTGGTCAAAAGTTGAAGTGTCTATTAACGTGCCAACTGGTTTGGAACATCTACTTCAATGCTCGTTCTTTTCAGATGGAACAAATTGCAAATAAATAACTTATAAGACGCCCCTCTTTCCCCAGTTATGTTATGACGACCTCAACCTCCTTACACTTTAGTGTTTGTTATGTAGTCTGGTGTATTAATTTGCTGCTATTACTTCCACAGCTGAGGATAACTGTGCAGATGTTGAGGTTTGTAACCTAACGAAGTGACCTTTTCTATTTATTTATTAAATATTAGTGAACCTTAGCAAACAGTTGAACCCTTCCCTCCTTCCCCTATGCTGACTCGTCGGCCTCAGTGATTACTTGATTGTCCAATTTAGTGCCGCACTCTTTTCTTTGACCGAAAGTGGCAACAAAGGGTATGGTTTACACTATTTTGATCTGAAATTCATTTCCATACAGACTCATTGGTGATGCACTTTTTATCTAAAATAAATGTTGTTGTCACTTCGAAACGACTCCTATGTTGAGTTAGTTAGGCAAAGGATATCGGAGTCTAAAGCCGCGCGCCGAACAATGCTCCCCTCCCCCGTTTCGTAAAGCAGTCGGACTCATAGCGTGATTCGCTCTGTATTGGATTCCACCACAGTAACTGTACACACAAGATCTGCACACATTCGACTGAGTAAGGGATAAAGTTGTAGTGACGAAGTGGTAGTAAAAGACTAGTCAGATTTCAACATTAACCCGGTTTGAAAAACCGGGTTAATGTGTTACACTGAAGTTGTCTGTGTGTTATTATTTGACTGCAGAGTGGAAAGGAGTCCGTCTCATCTCCAGAGTCAGGAAAGGAAATTGTGGTTGGTGCATTAGGTTTTAAGAGCTCTTAAGTATACATTTAAAAACGTACTACTTTCAAAGAGGTGGGGAAGTCTTTTAGATGCTTTCTGCAGTTTTTTTATTTGTTTGTTTGTTTGTTTGTTTGTTTTTATAGTCACTCATTTAGCACTAAACATCTTAAATTTCTTTATGAAAATAGTTGTTTTAATTATTTCTATAGGTTAGAAAGCGAAAGAGGAAATACGTTGAGTGGACACGATCAGGCCCTAGTCATTCTTGTGGCACCTCTCTTATAGGTATATACTTGCTCTGTAATTGGAACCGTCGCATCCTAAATCTCGGTGGACAGATCTTGGGTTTACACCATTTTGTGAGGGGTTTAAGATGGGCTTATAGAGGAGTCAAGGGGAGCTTGACGTATGACAGAGGGAAGGCTAATTGTGAGCGGGATTGAAATCGCTGCGAAACGAACTGATGAGAAATACACCCGATTTAGTGACGGAGTATTTAAGTATCCAAATGTGTAGTCTTCTGATATAATTGGTTTCTGAGTGGATAGCTGTCTTGATTATTTCCCCACAAAATCATGAAAAGGGTGCCCTTCAGTTTGTAAGTAGTTTAAATCTGGAAACTACATTAGTTCAGCAAACCTGAACCATCAAAGGACAAACCTGCTTCCATCAAAGGACAAGCGTGTGTCATTATCCATGTTATGAAAGAACTTTTACAGCTTTCTATCAATGTTATATATATCCATCTTTTTAACACTCAGCAAGGAGTAATGAACATAGAGAAGGCTGGTACAATCCAAGTATTTACAGGCCCAGGAAACTTTCATATGAAGGTAATTTTCTGCCATGAAACGTTAGCATTAATGCTTATAACAGAAATTGCCGGTGTCTACTGGAGCGCATTTTTATTGGGGTCTCACAACCAAAGCCAAAGTTATCATAAAGTTATTCTCTTTAATCAGAAGAACATAACCCATGTTTTATGCTTCTACTTTACTAATCAGATTCGTTTGACGGACTAGAACATCTTGGGAAACTTTCATTTCTGCATCGAAATTTGGCTGTAATCAACTAATGGGTCTGTCCTACGGCTATATCTATCGTTCAGTCGTTAGGTTATTTCTTATACACATCTGCGAAAATCTCCTTTTTTCCTTTTCTGGCCAGCAGAAAAAAAAGTGTTTTGGTTTTATTAGAAAACAGAGAGGAGCCTCACGAAGAAGACGTTGATGACGAGGATGAAGAAACCAGGTTTATGAACTGATTTAACCTTTGTTTGCTTCCATTTGTTTGTTTTTGGTGGTCAATGCCCAACCATTGTTTTTGACAGAAGGGTGAAACGATAGAAGGGAAAATAAGACAAGGCATAGATTCTCTATGAACATAGATCTGCTAGGATTTCTAGAAATTTAGCAGAATACCTGACAAAAGTTTTACAATTTTTTTTTCTATCAAAGGCAAGAGGTACAGGGATTGATCAATTTTTCTGGACGAAAGATTAAGAAAGCGGTTCGTGTAAGTAACAGTTTCTTCGTCCAGTTTTGTCCTGATTCCCTGCTACTTTGTCTTTCAACGAAGTCAAGATATCAGAAAAGATAAAAAGGCAACTTAACTCCCGGGGAACTACGGAGTTGCCGTTTGAGAGTAGCCGTAGTAGTTACTTGAGATTATGGCGCACATTACAAAATGGCGCGTTTTTCTTCGCGATTAAAAGTCACCAGATAGGAGAATTCCCACCACAGAATGCGAATCAACGCGAATCATAATAATTTTAACGAGTCGTAGTTACACTGTACTATTACGAAAAGGCTTTTTTTCTGTCAGGAAGGTGTACTGTCATGACTTTTATTTCAGAGAAAGCGTTTCATGATCCGATCGTTTGTAGAGAAATCCAATGAGGTCATGTTTACCACCATTGACTCCCTATGGAGTCAAAAACAGGAAGCCAGGTATTTGTAATCTTTTGTTCACCTTGCAATCAAAATATATTTCGTAATTAAATTTATCCTTGGCTTTCATTTCATTCAACTTCATCTTTGGCTCTGTCATAATGTTTGAAACAAAGGAAAGCCAAATATGAACCATAGATTAAATCGAACTATAGAATCTAAACTGCACCTGTTAATACTTGCATTATTGTGGCTGTGTCTTGGTTTGTAGAGACTGCTGAAATTGCTACGGGAGTGGTGCTAAAGTTTAGGAAGCTATGTCAGGGCTAATGGGTCTTTCAAAATATAAATGGCAGTTGATAAAATTTCTAAGTTTGTCATTTGTGAACCTTTCACCGCATTGTTTTTGTACCCCATATGGCTACTATTTCTAAGTTTCCATTTTAAGGCATTTTTAACTTTGTGAGGGTACTTCTTAGTTCTAAGTAACATCACAGCAGCTCACATAAATGCTATATAGATTGTGTCTACAGCAGTTATACTTTAATTTTTAGTGGATTCGGTCAACAGCACAATGCAGTTTTGATTGTGGTTGACGTGTTTTGTTTCTTTAAACGTTTGCTATTGTGGGGAATTTAGGTACGATAAATTGAGAAGCTGCAAGAACCAATTCTCAGAACAGGTTCAAGTTCTGAAGAAGGAAATTGATAAAACATCTGTGGTCGTAAGAGGAATGGAGGAAACATTCGTAAGTGTCAATTTGTGATCTTTGATTTTAAGGTACAGTCCTTCGAAACACAAAATCCGTAACACGTTTTAGTTAATTATGACATCTGCATCGTGTGAATTGCCTGGTCGGATAGTACTATATGTTACATCCAGTGGGGGAAAACATTACTCCATCAACACTTTATTCCTTATTTAGAATCTCGAATGTGACCGTAGGCTCGTGGACGAAGAGCTTACTTCCAAAGTAGCTTCTTAGTCGTCGAAACAAAAATATTGCGAAATGAGCCAATTTAATACGCTAGTCGGACAAAAACATCAGCACTGTAACGTCGACCACACCATTTCGCCGTCAAGGTCTTTAAACTTTTAAACTATTACAATAACCTTTGTCGTATCTTAGTGTTTGTAGAAGAGGGCCATATTCCAAAGAGGACCGTCGTTGGGCCAATGGACGACTTTTCTCAATTATAGTAGTGGTGATGAGCGTGTACTTATCTGGTTGTAACATTTCTTTGAAAACTAGAATGGTTTGAAGAAACAATTCAAGATTCTCAAGAACCAAAGACAGGTAGAAAACAAGAGGTTGGTAGGAAGTTCTTACTTTTACTCTTGGTGTCCTCAATTTTAATTTTTTTTTTTTTCGTCATTTCTGTGCGCTCGACGAAAGTAGGACTCAATGGGTTCAAACTCTTCGTTTAAAGGTTCAAAGACTTGGAAAATCTTCAAGTTGTCATGGACACTGAACTCACAAAGTTCAAGCAGGAAAGGGAAGAACGAGAGGTATTTATTGATCATTGTGATTTTCTACCATCTGAGTCACGTCTAAAGTGATACACTTTCTGGTTTGAAACCTGCTCGAAAAATGGGAATAAGTGATTTTCGATTTATTATTTCAACGCATAGTTCCGCTTGTTAGCTCAACGAATCCACTATATTTTGATTCAAAGAATTAGTGAGTACGACTTTGTTCATACTATCAATTTGATTCATACGATATCGATTGAATTGTTGCTTACAGTTTTTATAAATATTCTTAACAGATAGCAGTGCGCACTGAGATGAAAAACGAAATGGAGAAACTGCAGGATAAATTTCTTCAAGACACTGTGAGTAGATGATAGGATTCTCTAACAATTGGTTTTTTATTTTAAAGTGTATGCAGTGTTGTTGTTGTTGTTGTTGTTGTTTTTAATAAAACTTTTTAATTCTCTTCTATCAGCGCAAGCAGACAGAAGATTACCTTAAGATGACATTGAACACCTTGCGAATTATTTGAGGTCGTTACAAGGACTTGCGTTTTTGGTCTTACTTTGTTAAAAAAAGATGAAAAGAGAAGGAAATTAAAGGAACAATGAAAGGATAATTTTTTATCCTTATGGAGCAATTCTGTTAAATGGAAATTGTTCTCTTGGTGTCTACCATAACGAAATGGCTGGTGTTTGGTAACTTGCTGGATAGAGGTTGTAACAAGTTATCGGGTCTTTTGGTATTACAAATTGAAAGACAATAGGTTGAGCCAACAATGAAAAAAGGCAAACGTAAAAAACGTAATTCAGGAAAAAGTAATTGATGGAGTGGTTTTTATGAAACAATCCTAAGTTTAGTGTTCTAATTTAAGGCTACTTTTTCTAGAAATACGCATTGAAATGATTATTTGATTGTAGCTGAAACAGTTTCAAATATTAAATTGATTTATGTATGGCACGATTTATTGTATTTACACTTGAAAAAGAAAAGAAAACTTACCTATTTAAAGCACTTGTTTATGTAATTGTATAGTCTCCTTCATTAAAAGGGGAATCATCATCTCTAGCCTTCATAACAAGCGTTCATTTACCCGAGCGCGAAGCGGGAGATATCAAGCGTGAGACGAGGGGAAGAGAAATTTTATTTTTCTCTTCCCCTCGTCTCGTGCTTGATTTCTCCCGCTTCGCACTCGGCTATACAGGCTACATCGTCACCAAACTTCTTAAAACAGAAGTTAGCCAATAACCATCCAAACGTTTTAATATTTATTGATTGTCAATTATGACCCATAGTCGACAGTCACTGAGCCACTGCAGGCAGCAGTTTGCTCAACCCTCCAATGACCCCTGGGGATAACTGCGAGTAATCCAGATACGTAACCTTCGATAAAACTGTTTCAGAGTCCTTTCAAGGCAGAATTGCGTCCTGGAATTATTTGGCCAGAGTCCTCGCCATACTTTTTCTTTACCGAGAAAACTGCTGTGGCTTACGTTGCAATCGTTGTTGTCATTGATTTGCCATGTTGTGGTGCTTTTCGAGAAAATTGCAAAAGTTTTTGAACAGCGCGAACAAAATTTCCTCCTATCAGTCGATTATGCTCAAGGTAAATCCCTGCATTTTAGTTTGTCATTGCGCAATTTATCCTACTTAATCGTGCTAGATCATTTTACCGGCGTTTTATTTAATAAGATAAGTTAAGTGGATAGAGGCTTGGAGTTCTAAACTTATTACCATGAAAATTAAATTAGACAAGAGATTTACTGATGCAAGATTATTAAATACAAGACGGACGATGTTGATGTTTTATAACTAACTCCTTTAATTTGTCATTCCATAACTAAGCAATACTTGTGAGGTGCATAATCCATAACTTAGGTGTGTTGATCTCGGTATCTGGTCTCCTTTGACTGAGAGAAATTTTAACGCCGGTAATTACTTTTAAAGATTTTTAGTCAAACAGATTTAAGTGAAGAGCTTCAATTATGAGGAGAAGAGCCATCCGTCTAAAAATTAAGGGAACGAACATGTCAAAATAACGGGTGGAATCGTTGTTTCAGTAGCAGTTTAAACGTGTCTGTGTTCTGTTTTGTTTGCACGCTGTTTTGACATTAACATAACATTATCTAACGATTAAAACATCTGTAAAGTGTTTCCATGCCTTCAGGCTAAGCTGGGCGCAAACGAATTATTTCATGAACTTTTAGTTGTCTTAGTTGTGGCTTATGGCTGTGAAAATCAGAAATCCGTCCAAGTTCAAGAGAACTAAGAGTCTTCTTACTTATTTTACAGCAATGCAATTACGGAAAATTGAGTAGACCGTGGAATGGAAAATAAACTTGGTGCCTCTTTTGTATCGAGTGTGAAAGCTATTAGTGTGGGCGCAGTTGTTCAGTAGTGTGGGCTGTTTCATGATGCAGATACGTCCTCCAGATGATCAAAAAACGTACCTTACCAAAATCAAAACTGTTATATTCTGTAGCACAGTACATGCTTAGAACGCTGTCAGTTATCAGTTTATTTACGATGTCAGTTTCAGAAAACATAGGCAATAACTGAATGTAACAAGCAAAACGTCTTTTCAAACAAATGAAAACAAATTAATCACGAGGCAATTAACCGTAAAATAAATTGTAGATTTTTGTCATTCTTAATTCTTTTCCTCTATTCAAATGTAAAAGCCAGCCAGATGGGCAATATATTGTTTTGATTGCTGTAAACGTGTTTGTGCTTTTGTGAACTTCTATTTTTTTTTTCTCTCTCTCTCTCTTTTTTAACAACATGGGTGACATCCTTTCATTATTTCTGTTTGTTTCATTTACTTTATTATTTGTTACATAAACTGTTTGACCTAAAAAAAAAAACATCACAGACCTTAAGGCTATGTTTGGGTGCAACGGAAGTTCACAGCTTGAAGTTATAAGATGGCAGATAGTAGTTAGACTAAATAAACATTTCTAGATTGTCACGATATCCACATCAATTCTATTCCTTTGATAATAATACAATGTTCTACCCTAGAAGCGTGAGAACTCATTATGACATTTTAAACAAAGCGCTGTCTGAAAAGTGAAAGTTTCTGTGAGCCGTTGATAGCCCAGTTTCAAAAACCAAGGAGGGTGGAAATTTGGTTTTCGTTTGCATTAGCATCTACCAAGAGAATATATTCGCTTGCATATACTTGAGAATTGAGGTTTTCTGATACAGTTAGATCTTCCAATTTATCACTGAGTTTTGAATCAAAACAAAACTGACTCATGCAGTGAATGATGCGTTCCTCAAAGACAAGGCTGATTACAAAAGCGATGAAAATACGAGGAAAGAGCACTTTAAAGGCAAATCTATCTACCGGATCTTTTGATGTCTCTCTATTTGACCTCCATTGTCCTAAATGGCTCCAAGTCCTCCAGCTCCTTCGTGTTGACTGTGTGGGGCTTTGATAAAAATCTTACCGTAGTCAATAATAGTAGTAGTAATGTATCTTACTTGACCATCTTAGATAATATTTGCTCTGCTCTTGAACTCGAGCTTTAATAGAATAGAATTAATAGAAGGATTTCAAACAAAACCGCAACTAAAACTGGTCGAGATTAGTCGATCTGTATCGCCATTCTTATTCACCATCTGTTCAGGAGTAACCTAGAGAAGAAAGACAAAAAGAAGATTTCATGCTTTTATTCGATTCAGGATCTGCTCTCTTTGGGCTCTGAGAAAGTTTAAAGCTGGAAAAACTCAATTTTAGAATTTGCGATCAAACAGATGACGACAGTTTCGAGTAAGCAGCATCTACTTATACCGAGAACGGCATCATTGCAAAGGCAACAAAATTATTATCAAACTGTGAAAGAAGTCAGTGACTTGCTGTGCTGGCGTGAATGGCCAGGGAAAATGCAATCATGGGATACTGTATTTCAAAATATGTCTAATATACTATTTATCTAAAAAATCTGTTCTTTATCGTGCAAATGAGATCTATGACAGTTAACAATTTTTTTTATACCAGGAATCCAAATTAGGAATGATAAAAATTATTAGAAAAAAATTGTGTAAAGTAGCCATGATGCGCGCGCTAAGTTATCAGCAACCGCCACATCACGGCAGGACGTCTTCAGTCTTGGTCAGAGTTGGAAACGAGAGAAAATGTTGTGCGGAAACCAACTTATTTTACTTTTGAATTTTGTGAAATTCAATAGGTTGTGTTAGTTTTCTCCTGACGCTTCACTTTGAGTAACTATTTTCGTAGTTAGAGTTCAAGTAAAGAGTCGGCTGTTCGAAGCAAGTCGTCTCACTACGCATTTGGTTTCACTCGGAAGGTGCTCATCCGACACACATATGACAGCAAAGACAGCCTGCTGAGATCTATCCACATAGGTCATTTAAGCTTTTCGCAGCAATGAACGACTCTTTAAATTCAACTGCAAGTTCAGGAAATCTACCAAGGAAGTTTGTACCAGAGCCGTTTGCAATGACAGTCGTAAGGCTGTCTGTTTTTGGCATTGTATTCCTTGCTGCCGTCATCGGAAATTTCTTCGTGTTTACAGCTCCTTTGGGAAATAGTCGTCTTCGAACATTCAGTTATTGCCTGATCACGAACCTCGCAATAAGCGACTTCTTTAGTATCCTTTGGGTTCCTCTGATTCTTGCTACAGAAGAACTCAAGTCTGGCTGGATTTACGGTGCATTCCTCTGCAAGTTGATTAATCCAAGCCAGGTCGTATGTGGTTTGGTGACCACGAATGTGCACGTTGCTATTGCAGCCGATCGTTATTTCTCCATAGTTAGTCCACTTGGACACTCGTGCAGTCATTTTAGATATCGCCGAGCATTTATAATTGTTTCTACCATTTGGATTGTCGCGGTCATTTGTTCTCTTCCGTCATTTATTTTCAGACAGGCTTTAAGCGTAACTTTCAAATCTGGCAGGAAGATTGATTACTGCCATGAAATATTTCCTCCCATGAATGCGGATTCAGAGCATGGCTATCGTCAGATGTACTCCGTGTTTCTTTTTCTAGTGAATTATGTCATTCCCATTTCTATTTCTACCGTACTGTACGCAAAAATTATTCTTCACTTAAAGAAAACCAAGCTTGAGAGGAAAAAATTGGGTCGAAAATTCAGCCAAAGCAGCAGAGCGTCTACAAAGGACACAAAAGTGTATTGCAACGATTCAACTCAACTGGAGAGACGTTTTATTTCCATGGCTATCGTCATAATTTTGATATTTTTCTTCTGTTATTTGCCTTATCAAGCTGTGTTTCTTCTCGCTGAGTTCACAGAATACACTGTGTCGTGGAAATATGTTCGCATACTTATGAACGTAGTTTATTTTCTGACGTGGCTGCCAAATGCTTTGAACCCGATTTGTTTCGGTGCCATGGACCAGCGTTATTCGAAAGCTTTCAGAAGAATTTGTTTCGTGTTTCAAGATAGCTCTGACAAAGATTCCAAGAGTAATCAAAGTGGATCTCTGTCGAGACAAGCGCGTAAAGTGACCTACACCAACGTATAGATTTCTCTGCAAGTGGAAAATTGTTTGATTTGCCGTGACCACAATAATGCAACAGTTACGATAGGTATGCTATCAAGCTGTGCCATTGCTGTTATTTTAAAGCCCACGCAAAGGAAGATTGGGGGGGGGGGGTGAAGTACTCCTAGAAATTCTGAGCTGAGAAGTGTGAATGATCTCCTAAGTCTCTTACCATAACGCATCTCTATACCTTATTTCAAGACAGGCATCGAAAAAAAAAGTTGGGTGTGACCTGCTCAGAAATAACAATTCTAGAAACCGTTGTGTTTGTTTAAAAAACCCATAATGTGACGAAGGGGTTTTGTCTCCCCCCCTCGACTTTTAAGTACTGTTAGATTTAAAGAGCATGCACATTCTTTCAATTATATTGAGTTTGTCTTTGACAACCTTTCTTTTCTTTTGGCTGACATTGCGCACTGATGAACTAAGAGAAGAAATGGGAGAAATGTGAACTGACAGATGAAGGAAGGTGTGGATGAAATATTCGGAAGTAAAAGAACCTACAAGTGTTTTTACTGGTTAATTTCAAGAAGTTTGTACAAAAATGCGTGACTTGTGTATCCGGCCACTTGTGCTTTGAGGTTATTTTTAGACGGAAAAGGTCATTAGGGCTTAACAAGTCTTATAATTGCATAATGTTCAGAATACATGTGCGCTTAATTATTTCGTAAATATTTTACTTCCGAGATAACTTGAACAGCTGTTGAGCATTCGTGCTTCGACTTGATAAAAAAAAATCTCCTCTTGATCTCCTATGATCTGATAATCTAATTTTCCGTGTTTTTTGTTAATTTTCTTTGAAGTGCTCAAGTTTGTTTGCGTCGTTCCCTGATAGAATTCCGGATCTGGGTGTTCTGAGAGTGTTAAAAGCGAGAGGAGGGGGTGATAAATACTCTCTTCATGGAATTTCAAAGACTTCAAGGTCTCTGACAGTTTTATCTTTGCTTGTCGTGTGAAAAGAACTCCATCGTAGGTATCAGCGATTTATGTTCCAACCTCATCTGGTAACTACAGATCAACGACACGCTTCAAATCATGCATGAGAAATACGTGCTGCGAAGGCTTTGTTTCTTGAAAACATTCATAGTTGCTTCGCAGTTGGGCAAATCCTTTAAACTCTCCTGGACAGTTGAGAACGTCACGTTTAGCCCTTTGAGGAATTGCACGAACTTATAGCGATACCTGCATAACATTTGCCACAAGGAGTTGTAACAAAAGTTTAAATTAACAAGCAGCCTCAGCCCCCCTAAAAAGTACTGAAAAGACAGCCACTAACCCACCCTTAGAGCGTATGCTACGTCTCAGATACGCTTTCACAAACTTCAATGTTGTTGGGTATTGTGCTTATTGTAACACATATTCTGTTCGACGGAACGTGGGCACCACTGCAAATACACGAAAACAATCAGCATGTATTTTCATTGAAAACGAAAATGGTTCCATAATTAAGTACGGGATGATTGAGGACGGAAATTTATTGCAGTTGATGTTGAAGACTGGAACAGACTAACCGCCTCCCGGTTAGCTCGATGGATAGAGCGCTGGACTGTTGTGAGGGAGGTCGAGGGTTCAAGCCCCGGCTGGACCAACACTCAAGGTCTTAAAATGATTGAGAAGAATATGCTACCTTTCTCAAACGTTAACATCAAGAAATGGTTAGATATTCTAGTCTTCTCGGATAGGGACGAATAAATGGAGGTCCCGTCTCCTGCAGGGTTAGGGGAAGGAGACGTTAATTTCCCACGCACGAGATCACTGTGTGATGGATGTCCTCCCCTGGAGTGGGATGGGTGGGAAAATAGCAGGTCCACATCAGCTATATAGCTGCCATAAATTCAAGATGATGATGATGATGATGATCCTCAACGAAGACATCAAAGTCGGCTGAGAAATCATGATTTCAATTTGTCGCATAAAAATTATGCAATTGAGTCGTTTAATTTATTTTGTAGCAGGCAATGAAGAGGGTTTGAGCTCGTGAAGAACAGATAATAATCTCACACTAAAGACGGTTTCTTTCAACTTATACCTATGTGACTGCGCCTCAATGATGTTGTTAAGTATTTTAAATGATAAATTGTTCCAGGACTGCTATTTGTGAATGACCGCTTTAGGCTTTGAAGTTTAATCAAATGGAACAAGGTTAACGTGAATGATTATACTGTGGTAGTGAAAGGACAAGTCAAATTCCGTGTGTGCAGCTGAAAGTAGGTGTCCAAATTTTTGGTATCCCTGCACAAGGACGTCTGCTTGGTCAAGAGAAAGCGTCAAGTTATAATACCAAGAATAATAATAATAATAACGATTTGAATTATAGTTACTTTAAAACAAGCTGACATATTTCCAAATGCATTTGGAAGAATGTTTGATTTATAATGGTATTTAAACTGATTGGAGTGCAATTTGGGCTGAAATCATACGCGTGATTTCAAAATCGAACGAACGCGCAGCGCGACAAATATGATTTCAGACCAAAATTGCACGACACGAGGTTCAATTACCACTTTATTACATCCATTTTGAAATCGCCCAAATACAGGACTTGGTCAATTCAAATATTTTCTTGATACAGTGCTGAGCCGGTTTTTAAATAAAATGAGGAACCGGAAACGCTTTTACATCTTATTTTGTATGCAACAACAACAACAACTTTATTCGGTACTTCCATAAGTAGTACATGGCATTACCTAAGTAAGAATAAGTAACAATAATTATTTAACATCATTTCGTCTTTAACAGAACTTCTTGTCTGATATTCATTATTTGGAATATAAAGGCAGAAATGAGTCTACATATAGACGGATCCAGCGTTATTAAAAAGGAATAACACTTTAGAGTTATGATCAAAGCTTGAAGCAAGGATACTTTCTTGCGATTTTGTTGTTAAGTTCTAATCGAAAACTATCATACAAAGGACAACAAAAAAGCACATGTTTTTCATCTTTAATTTCATTTGAATGGAAGAAAGAACAGATTCTTTGATTGACTGGGGTCTTTGGAGTCGTGTATCTTCCCGTTTCAATGTGTAATTTATGATTGCCTAGACGGAATTTACTAATGACAATTTTGTGTTGTGGATTGTTTATTAGATCTAAAAATTCTATTTTCTAAGTGTCTTTTTTGAATGAGGAGTAAAAGTCTAATTTCCTGTTTGCGTTAATTAGCATTTATTGGTGGTCCTCAAAGATCTTCCTCTTTAACTTTAAATGAGTAGTTCTCATATTTGTATCGTTATTGTTCAGGTTTATAGAACTTGGATCACATCTTTTCAATAAGTTATTAATTCTCAGCGTCAAACTTAAGAGGTTTCTATCAGCCAATTCTTCGGAGAGGAATAAGCATTGTTTTGCAATAGCAGTGTCCGGTAAGTTGCGTAGATGAATCCAGAACTTTATAATCGATGTCTCTATATTTAATTTCAGCGGTAGTCTACCATTTCGTTTCTAGCGGCAACATTTGGGCATTGCTTGTTTACACCTAAGGTTTGTTTACAAAAATAAATGTGAGTTTTTTCAATTTCATCTTTTCCCCAGGCGGAGAGGTCCTCTTTGTCATAGATGCCCCAAACTTCCGAGCCATATAATACGATTGGAAGAAGGAGGGAATAAAAGAGTTTACATTTAATGTCCTGAGGCAATTTGGTGAAATTAAGATATCGACGAGTTGCAAAGATTAACCTACGTGTTTTTTCTTTTAAATTTCCTTTACAGCCTTTGAAATTGCCAGAGGAGGAAAAATTAACTCCCAAGATATGTATAACTGTTAACGATTTCAATAGTATTGTTATCTATAGTAAAGTTATATTTGTCAAGTGTTGATCTTCTACATTTCTTTTGAAAAATCATTACTTCTGTTTTCTTTAGGTTTTTGATAGTAACCATTCATTACAAAAATTTTCAAGAGTAGATAGAGCATTTTGGAGACCATCTGCTGATTTCAAAATGAGAACCAAATCATCAGCGTATAATAAGGAATTTAAGCGAGTTCCATTGGGTAGAATTATTGGGTCTGTATCATCGCGGTCCAACCGAAGTGGAATGTCGTTTAAGTAGAGGTTAAAAAGTATTATAACATAACCAAAGTAAAGCGCGCGCTCTGCTTGGTCAATTTAGCGTTCCCCATTTGCCCATGGGTGTACGCTGCTGACGTGAGCAAATGCAAAGACTATTTTTCCGCGCGCGCTTGTTTTTTCTGGTCACGTAAGATTTGTTAAGTAAAAGGGAACTCTTTAGCTACAATGTATCAATGTTATGTTATAAAACAAATGGTAAACACCACACCGTACACTATTGAGTTATGGATGCACTTGGGAGGTTTGCTAAGCACTCAAGAAGCTAGAGTCGCTCTCGTCTATCGCCTCGAGCGACTCTTACGCTTCTTTCGTGCTTAGCAACCTCCCGCGTGCATCCATAACTCAATAGTGTACGCTGTGGTGTTTACCATTTGTTAATTGGGAAAAGGATACAACCTTGCCGTTCATCTTTACTGTAACTGAAGAATTCTGTTCTTTTGTCGGCAGTCTTAATAGAACATTTTGATTTTGAGTACAGATTGTTGATTAGATCATGGAATTTTCCACCTATATTGTTTTGCAGTAGTTTGTAAAAGAGACCATCATGCCACACTCAATCGAAAGCCCTTTTGAAATCAATAAAATAGGTAAATAGTTTCCCTTTCGAGTTATTAATTACATACTATGCAAAAACATACCTGTAGAGTTCTTTTTTTTTTTTTTTACAAGGACTGATCTGAAAAACCATTTGCAAGCCAACAGTTGACCTTGAAATCAGGAGGGCATAGGGTAAAATATAGACTGGACTGGACTATTTTTGGACCATCTTTTGGACCATTTTTTTGGACTATTTTTTGGACCATTTTTTGGACCATTGTATAAGGGGGAGGCACACCTTTAGTACTCAGGGAGGGGTGGGTGCAGTCTACAAGTACTGAGGAAGGGGTGGGGTGCAGAGTGTTATTACTCAGGGAGGGGTGGTAGGTAGTTGTAATTGTAAACACTACTGGTTAATGGAGCTTTAACTCGATCGTACAAATTATTTTAATCGGTCTTAAACCGGTTGCTATAATGATGGAATACGAGTGTTTTGATTTCCTGCCATTCGGTCTTAATGTTTAGGTTTCAGATCTTCTCGAATTTTTGCATTGCCTCGATAGAATACAAGCAGGCGAAGCATTTCAGTGAAGTGTTCAGTAAGCAACCGTGGACGATAATCCTACTTTTGACCGTTGGATCAGGAGTGATCTAATCGGCCCAAAATAATGAATATAAATATAGAGGCAAGACCGATACAACGTAGATAAGTTTTAAAACGGAACACTATATTTCGGCTGGCCTACGTTGTTTCTTGCCTCTATATTTATTTGAAGCATTTCAACATTTTTTACCGGTTTATCCCACGACAGCAATTGCTATCGCCGAGGGACTTGAATTTTTGCATTCAAGGAATGTGGTACGCCGCGACTTAAAACAAGGAAATGCCATATATGGTTTTGAGATAGAATAAATATATGAAGTTCATATATTTTGAACTGCGGTATTAGATACGTATGATGCACGATCCTCGCAGTAGATAGCGCTATTTATGCAATAGCGAAAATCAGACCTGAAAAAAATCAGGCCTGTACGGGACTCGAACCACTGACCTCTGCGATACTAGTGCAGCGCTCTACCAATTGAGCTAACAAGCCAACTGGGAGCAGGCCGTTAAGTTGATTCGTAATAAACCCGTGAAAGTGATAAATGAGATACAATGAATATATGAAGTTCATATATTTTGAACTGCGGTATTAGATACGTATGATGCACGATCCTCGCAGTAGATAGCGCTATTTATGCAATAGCGAAAATCAGACCTGAAAAAAATCAGGCCTGTACGGGACTCGAACCACTGACCTCTGCGATACTAGTGCAGCGCTCTACCAATTGAGCTAACAAGCCAACTGGGAGCAGGCCGTTAAGTTGATTCGTAATAAACCCGTGAAAGTGATAAATGAGATACAATGAATATATGAAGTTCATATATTTTGAACTGCGGTATTAGATACGTATGATGCACGATCCTCGCAGTAGATAGCGCTATTTATGCAATAGCGAAAATCAGACCTGAAAAAAATCAGGCCTGTACGGGACTCGAACCACTGACCTCTGCGATACTAGTGCAGCGCTCTACCAATTGAGCTAACAAGCCAACTGGGAGCAGGCCGTTAAGTTGATTCGTAATAAACCCGTGGAAGTGATAAATGAGATACAATGCCAGGTGCCCTCGATCTGTCTCACGAGATCCACAATCGATTCCGCAACAGCCTTTGGTTCCCTGGTTTTAAGATCATTAGTCCCAATGTGTAAAATCACTTCATTGGGCGAAGATTCCAGATTTGGCTTGAGATAGTGATTCATGGCCATTGTCGTAGCGCCCGAGAAAGGCTTGACTATAACCCTGTGGCCAACTGCTTTTCCCAGATCTTTTCCAGGTATTCTTGAGATCATCGAATCTCCTATGAGCAGGGTTGTGCGCTCTTTTGGTTGTTTTTCGGGTTCGGATTCTTTTCC